GTCGGTTGGGACGGTTAGGAAAGATTCACGAGAAACAAGCAACGATGAACTCCTTGTTCGAATCCATCGCGAACGTGCCAGACGTGTTTCACAAAAATTGCTTGATTACCCTAAAAGACGCACTTGAAATGTACGTGTTAACGGATCGTCCCCGACAGTAAGTTAAAAAGCAACCGCCGACGTTTGCCCGGAACGAAGTCACACGAGCTGCTTCCAACCAGAAACAAAAGGGTGTTCAGAAACCTGCGGAAGATTAGAAGTTACTTTAGTGTAACCAGCAGATAAGGACTGCATGTCCATGACACTGAACGAACAAGGTCACGTTGAAATAGTCAAGCAGTTATTTACTGTTACGGCGACCGCCCAGATTATTTAGGATCCTATTTGATAGTTGGTCAACGAGACCGACACTCAGAAAATTACAAGTAACAATTAGGAGAGAAAACGGTAGTGGACGACATCAACGTTACCTATTTGATAGTATAATGTTGAGGCTTTAATCGGACATTTATTATCCTAAGCACAGCTTTGTGATCGCAGGCCTCAACATCCAAGCCAACAAGAAGAAATGAATGTATGGTATTGTTGCATTGTGTAGGCTTCCACCAGTGGTTACCTTGGTGCACTCAGTTTCCTTGGTGTGTCCACATCATATTCAAGTTTTTGGACCACTCATCGTAAGGGAGAAAAACAAGAGAGGTAGCCGGATAATGACTACCGAAGGGAAGGTCTTTAAAATAAAAAAAACATTTCGAGACTTTCTGAGCACTGTGAGTGATTATTTGAAGAGCCAATCGTAGTCTAATGTCATCGCCTGGTCAACAAAACGCAGAAATACAGGAGTGTATAATACTACTCAAACACAACACGCTGACAGACCGTTACACCGTTGTGAACCGTTGGTGACGAAATGTTTGCAATATTTGTTTCTGGAGATAGTCTAGTCAGTAATCTTGAGGTTATTCAAATACTGTAATATCCAGCTAAGATGACTATCGGTGTGCACTCCATTATCTCACCATTGCCTGCTTTTTGTTGCCTACAATTGCACCTCCATCCAAGTAAGATACGTCGCCCATGCTTCTGCTGAGAGACGACCTTTCGATCGGACCAATCTTCATATTGTGGGTGGCCTATATAATAGAAATTCTTGTCTCTCCCGTTCCCTCCGTTATTTTCTGCGTGAGATTGCTAGGGATGTTTGCAGTTTAATGACTGCACAAAAGCCTCCGAAAGTAAGAATTTAGGTCTGTTATCGTAACTGCTTGCTGGCGCAGTTGACGTTTTCCCGACCACATACAATTCACATCCCGACGGACACCGTTGTTCTCCAGAACGATATTTTCTCTTGTTTTCGGTTTATAAGAAATACCCTTGATTCCTTCATTCCATACAATCGCTGCAAGGATTTAGAAAACAGTTCACAGATTTATTGTTGAACGCCGTCTGACACGATAGTTTTGTCGCTCATATCTTTTCTCGTTTCTGCAGATAATTTAGTGCCGTGACCTTTGGGTTAGGTGGTTCCATGAGTATTGGCTTCCTACCTTAGATCGAAAACACTTTTTTGAGCTAATGATTACCACCTGCCGCTGCGCGTAAATTCGACCACCACTGAGGTCAGCAGCAGCAGCTGTAGTGAATTTTAAGTCACACCTCATTATTATGCACCCTTTGTCTGAGGCTGGCGAAGAATCCTCAGCCGAACGACCGTAAATCAAAAGAACCACACACAAACGATGATTTTTCGACCGTTTCCATGCGCCCTCCAATTGATCAGATATATTAATTGGTTGTGAAGCTCGCAGGTTTGGATTATGTTTGATTTACAAACTGCACTGACCGAACTCCTCAAGTTGTCATTTGAACATTCCCGTCCTCGTCAAAATGCTGAGACATTTCCCTTGTTGCTCCCCTTAGGCGTCACTGGGACGTTTTGCTGGTCTCCCATTAATTACTGCCGTTCATGTCACCTGCCTAGAGCATCTCTTGTGAAACGTCCGGGTGTGATCTTACCAGGCCACCCCAGTTGGTTTTGATACATCCATTCTGCTTTTTGCGTTGAACCTTTTCCCATCTGCCCATTCCTATCAGTGTTATTTGTCCGTTTTTGCCTGCGGCCTCCTCCCTCACTGATTTTACATTCCCATGTTCTCTTCAGGGGACACTGGAGGAGATAAGTAACCTAGTTTCGGGAGCCCATATTTACTATTCGCTGGTTTAATACAGTCCCAAAGAATTCCCTGATAAAAGTTTCAGTGAGCAAACACCTTCACTCTCATTTCAAATTCACGATTCAACCTCCACCAGTTACTTACTAGGTTACCTTCACTGCATGAACCCGTTCCAAATGCAAACGGCAATGTGCCACACTTTCAACTTATCGTTTTAGGATCGGTCCCAATCCACTGCGTGCTAGCTTCGAGTAATATTTTTTCATGCAAAACATAAGAATATCAGTGTGATGAATGGCAGCGAGGAACATGTCGGTAGCCAATGTTGTTTGAATGGTTGTCGGTTTCTTCGCCGATCTGAGCAGTTTCTTTTGAACTTTTTTCGTCCCATGTATGTTTTTAGATAGTATCGTAAATTTTTGTGAAATTTCATATCAGGCCGCACAGCGCTTCACTTTACTGGGTTTGAAGTGTTAGCACTCATTGGTTTGTCTTGTCCTGGGTTCTCCACCCACTCAATCGGCTGCGAAGTATTCAACCGATCCTTGTCCATAAGAGACCGCTTTCGCCCACTCCTGCACTCCAACCAGTGTTTTCCGACAGCGTCATTGACCAACTTCATGCTCATTTTCAGGGCATTCGAGTCCAAGTTTCCAAAACACCAATTTTAGCGCACCCTATATTAGAGTTAATACGTAGCTCAGCCTCACTTTGCGCCATTAAAACTTTTGGGTACATTAAGTGATGATGCGTATTGACTGCATTCAAGAGTCGGAAGCCCCAACCTGAAGGTAGCGTTTATACAATTTCACCGAATTGAACATTTCTTCATTCGTGGTTGTTTTTTTTGTGAACTACTCTTTAAATCTTCTTTGTGAAAGATATGAAGAGTATGATACCCACATTTCCTCCACTATTAGTCTGACTTTACAGAATGCAGACGACAAATTCCCAGGGATAGGAATCCCAATTGCTCCCTGTGGGATGACCGTCGTGGCAGTTGGTTCGCAACGAACTTTCTTTTCTCATACTTGAGTCTTGTCTACACTATCTGTTCTTGAACTCCAACTCCGTTCCTTTCGGCAGCTACAGTTTTATGAGCTGCCATGGAATGATCAGGTGCCATGATTGAACTTCGGTGTGGAATGAGGCTGATGTTACGGCGTTGTTCACAAAGTTTATCGCGCCGTCATCAGTCTTTGTTTTTCTTTTTATACGTGCGTAGAAAGAGACGAACCATTATTAGGGACCTGAACACAGTGCACATGGACAAAATGACTGACTGCTGAATTTTGTCGAGGATCAATCTCCATCGAGCAGTTTTCGAACACAATGCTATTCTGGGTGTTCGAATAAAAGGTTGACAACCCCCTAAATCAGGCGGGGTTACGTTCCAAGACAGTGGCATGAGCTCTGGTTACGTGAAAACCAATTAACGGTGCTCATTTCCATCCTGAGTGTAGTCCCGGCCTTTATGTTTGGATTCAGATACAGTGTTGTGTTTGGACCATCTGGAACATTCAGTAACATTCGATGAATAGTCACCGATGTGTTCCGAAGTCTACCACTACTGGGCTTCCGGGCAAAATGAGCGAAACACTCAATCCTATGTACTCAATTCTTGGATTAGCCACTTTTTCTTCGCCCTCATCCCATTTCACACGATAAAATCGATCCAAAATCACTGATTATCCCCTGTTGTTATTTCCTCGATACTTCTAGACACAGTCCTCATCTACTACTCTTTCCTAAGGATTGTGACTAGTGAGCACTGTTGGTTGATTGTCGGCGCCATGTTTTCATTTTGCTTGCTGCATCACTCAGTAGATTTGGCCTTTTTGTTTTCCCTCACCTTCATTCTTTGATTTACACGGATTCATCCTCATTTCTGTGTGATGACTTTTGGTATCCTTGACTTTTAATTCTAGATGCGTTGACGCAATCTATTTTTCTCTGAGTTTGTGCGGGTTGAATGCTATTATTTTCTGACAGCTTACACGACAGGCTTTGAGTGGGGTGCATATTTCGAAGACGTGATACTGATCTTCGATGAAAACGACTAATCAGATACGATGAGATCTGAAAAATCAGTCTTTGTTTACAGAATAATGTGCTTATTCGGATATTCATGTTATGTTCAGATTTGCTATAGTGACGAGGTCTGAAGCCTATCGCTTTGTTTTCTTTATAACAATCTCTCTCCCAGAGGCCCTACGTTGTCTTGAAAAGCGCGTATTCTACCGTATGATTTCTGGCCTTCACACTAGCATCACCGTCCACCTGTGCGCCAAATCCCCTCGCTCCGGTAAGTTCACATGAATTTTCTTCTGCTTATCGCAACCTGGTGCACACATATGCTTACTGCCTTCGGTTTCTTGTAGTTTTCAGTCCAACGCAACCTGGTCAACCGTTGTCCACTCTAGCAACAACTACTTGGGGTCCGAAACCAGAGGAATTTTATCGGCGCTTTCATCCGGAGGTTGTGCCTGAGGGTCTTGATCGACTGCGCAGTCTTTATTTTGCCTATCTGGTAGAACTGCGAGCGCTCGCCAAGGTTGCGCCCTACTTGCGCACTTTGACTTTTTACACAGGCAATCCTGAAGCGGACGCGGACACCCAGAGGGCAATCAATGATCTGCTCAAGGTTGTGGAGTAAGTCTGGAAAGTTGACTTGCGTTGTCCGTAACACAGATTAGTATCGTTCACATCTTTATTACGGAACTAAGTGTGTTACAGACTTTCAAGAACGAAACCGGCTAACAGTTCCCCATATTTTCTATAGAGGAGAATATATTGGTAACTCAGGTAGCGTAGATGGTCGTTGGCTTGTTCTCTGAGCTGGGCAATTTGGTTGCAAACGTTTCATCACCAATCGAGGTGACATCATCAGTGCGTAGTTGTGCGTAGCGGTGGGTTAGTGGTTGTGCGTTCAGTAGTGTTACGTGTGTGTTGATATACGTGCTGGTAGCCGGGGACCCCGGCTACCAGCACGTATATCAACACACACGTAACACTACTGAACGCACAACCACTAACCCACCGCTACGCACTGATGATGTCACCTAGATTGGTGATGAAACGTTTGCAACCAAATTGCCCAGCTCAGCGAACAAGCCAACGACCAGTTCCCCATATGGATCTAAACCAGATTGGTGTAGTGTCAGGTCCTGTCAATAGGGCTACCACTGCCACATTCCTGAATGGGAAGCTTTACAAGCTTCAGGTTATCAGAACGCAGGGAAGAACTTCCGTTTTAAATCCAGGCGTTCGTCCTTACATTGTCATCTCTTCTTGTGGGCTTGAATCTGTTTCCGGACTTGCCACATGGTCTACGCCGATCCATACCGATGTGTAATGACATGCCCACATATGGCTATTAAATGATTTCCAATAATCAGTGTGAATAATGCAATAATGGCCGCCGATAGTCAGTTCCCGCCCAGCCATAGGTTTGACAATTTGAAACTGACGTAGTTACAGCAGCTACATCACAATACAACACAGATGTATTAGGATACAGAAGAAATAGACAACTCGGCAATACATATCAAGTGCTTCCAATGACCAACCACATAGGGATCTTGTAGATTTGTGCAATGACGCCTCTCTGGGTGATAGCAAGGCTGTCTGTCATCATAAAATGATATTTTGTGTCACTATCGACGTACTGTTAGGCGTTCAGTTTCCCACTTAGCATCGAAACACGTGGAAGATTTTTTTCAACAGGAATCCATGTGAATATCGAACGATGGTGTTTCCCTTGGTAATATAAAAGTGCGTACAAACGCTGTAGTGTAACGATCAATAACTACGATGAGCTTCATCGGTGGTTACCCTTAATACTTGTGCTTCGTATCACTGTCTAAGTTGGAAAAAATACATGGCAAAAGTTGGGAGATGTCAGTGCGCATTGAATATGTTTACGCAGTATCCGACAATATTGTCTGGACAGTTTTTGCTGTACGACAGTCATCATCATTTTCAGCTGTAAGAACCGCGTACTTGTACGGTGGTTGTAGCTGTCACAGTTTCGTTCACCGATGATTTGGAGGGGAGGTAGGTAGCTGCGCATTGGAGGCGAGAGCTGATAAATTGGACTGTCAGTGGACTGGTAAGCGAGGGGCTTGGAAGAGAGCTACGCATTACCTGAAGACTGTCACATCAGCGGGATTTCGGCTGTTCCAACTGTCCTCACTTGTCAATCGACCGTAAATGAGCTTCCTCGGGATGTTATTATCATGACTTGTCCAGCAGAGCCGGTCGTGCCTCAAGACTCGTTTGAGAGTTTCGATGCTCGGGCTTCAATATAGCCCTTCATTTTTTAGTATCCTGCGCAAGTATTTTAAGTGAAATTTGTCAAGTGTTTCAATGTGCCATCGGTACGTTTCACTCCAGACAGCTCGGTACCCTGCAGCCTTCGTGTCCATGCACAGATGTTTGCTCCAAGCACATTTATACAGGTGGTAGGGAGCAATACAAGCATTTAGTCCAGTGTCGATTGCAACTTCCGTGGACAGGGAGCCGCCGAGGTTGCGGAACTCTTCACAATTTTAATACGCGGTGTCTGTTGTACACCCCGAGCAGCCTGGTAAAAGGCGCGTGTTTTGGGCCCATTTATATTTCAACCAAAGTGAGGTGTTGCTCAGGCAAATGGTGTGTAAATGTGTGGTGCAATTTCGCTTCCAACTGTGCAACTAAAGCATAGTCGTCTGTATAAAGTAGCATACGGACCTTTAAATCACGCAGCACCGTTTTGGCCAGGAAGCGTTTCGAGTTGAAGGTGTGACCCTCTAGACGCTATGTTGTCATCTTGGGAATCACGTAACGCTTCTGTGCAAACTGCGGTTACATACGAACTAAACTATTTCGGAATCAAAAGACAACCTTCCTGCCTTCCTATGCCAGTTTCGAACTCGGCAGACTTGTTATCTATTCGGGCCTTCATACAGGAATGGAGGGACAACTAAGCTTCTTGAGAACGCGTCTTAGTGCCTTCCTGTTCATGGAGTTAAGGGATTCCGTCTGATCTACGGACGGAATGTTTAGTGGTTACCTCCTTTCTCGGCATTTTGCTTATGGCTGGCGCGCTGCAAAGGACAGTCAACCCTTCTGCGTCCGCCTCAGAATCCACATTGTTCTTCAGGATATTTTCTTCCAAAACATCGGTGTCCAACCAGTGGAGCAGGTTGAATAGCAATCGAGTTGTGTATCAGAATTTTGCGCGCAATACAAAGAAAACGAACTTCTCGATACTTGTCCGTTTTTGTCAGCCTCCATTCCCCTTGAATAGTTGTGCACTGTTAGAGTTCTTGAACTCTTTTTGGACGTTTGCAGTCTCCCAGGTTGTAAAAATTATTGATTGCGTCCAGCAGTTAGGTGGACCATGTTGATTTGTGGGTAAAACCTCGAAAGTCAAATCGTTCAAAGTAATACAATAAAGTGGCGCAAATCTCGAATCATGGGACCGTGCCTCTTTCTATGTGCCGGGTCAAGTAACTCTCATTCATGATGCGATCCTGTACGAATAAAGTAAGTGGGACGCAATGCGTCTCCTCAGCGTTCGCACAGTCAAGACAAAGTGGCCATTTCGGTGGGCATTCTATCTTTTCCAGCGCCCAAGTTACCAATTTTCTAACACACTACCAACAGTGTTTCCGTTTCATAGTTCAGTTATGGTCCTTCAAATTTATGTTTTCGTAGATGGGTTTAAATGATATGCTTCCACAAGGCTTGAGACAAAATGATCCAAACCCCGTTTGGGTGGGTTGCTAATTTTGCGTAATTTGCTCTTCAAATATCCAGTCTTCCTTCAGACCTAATGAGCGTTCAGTCGGTTCGGGTGTCCTTGGTGTACTGGATTTATTGCGTTTGGGGTATGTAAATTGCTGCATTTGGCCGTTTGATAATCCCACTCTAGAACTCATCGGGTTACCAAAAAGGATTTTTACTTAAAGTTGCCATCATTCTACCAAATGGATCGCGCCTCGTATCCCACTGAAACCGTCGCAAGTAACTTTCGTATCGTTTTTTCTTCTTTTTTTCGTCCACTCAATTCAGAGCAAAAGGCAATTTATTTGATGAACGTCAACTGTTTGCCGGTCAGACTGAGGAGGCCAAAACACTGAAACATCAGATGCGAGAGCACTTTTACAACATCTCACGGATTATGGACTGTGTTGGCTGTGACAAGTGCCGTCTGTGGGGAAAACTACAGGTATCTGTCATCATTCGAATTCGTATTGTTTTTTTATTTCGAAAGATAATCACCCATTTGCTCATTTCCGCATTGCACCCCTTCTATTCCGGTATGCGCTGCATTTGGAACCTAGGTGCTTGTAATGTTTGGTCACAAAATGTAAACTCATGCTGTAGAACATATTTTTAGGCATGTCACAATCCAAGGGGAACAAGTGGATGTATGTCTAGTTTTGTGTGTTTCCGTCAAATGTTGGAGCAATGGTATGCATGCTGACTTCCTACATTCTTGGTGTTCCTTGACTTTAAGCGTGTGGACGATTCTGTCGACCGGATAGTTCCTTTCAGTACGCTTGTGCACCGAGGTATTCCCCAAAAGTTCGTGAATATCATGGCAGAAGAAAGTAAAGAATGTTACAAAAGGTTTGGATGCCATTGGTTCTGTTCGCCTTCCAGGATAGGATCCAGGGGACCCTCCCTGTGGTTGGCTGGAAACAATGAACGATATGACGGCTAATCGGTGTCATTGGCGTTCATGGTATCAGTTTTTATCCAGATTGTCCAGCTCAGTACTGGGGGATTAAGCACCTCGGATTTTTACGGTAGGCTAACTCCCTCCAGGCCCCGTTTCTTTCTGTTATAAATTGACATGTCTGTACTGTGGATTAATGCTTGACTTCACATACTAGTTTTGCACATTTGTCACTTGTGACATCAGAAAGACCTATCTTTGAGTCGACTGATGACCGGTGGGAATCGTCAAGCATCCCGCTGTGAATGGAATAAAACGGTTCTTGGTTAGTAGAGCTGACACTTGGTAGTGCGCCGTTATTAGTGAAGGGGAGTCATCGACAAATGTAGCGTACGTCCTAAGTAACTAGCTTAAACCGGTCAAAAGCAAATAATCTTAGCACCTACGAATCCACACGGAGCAACCAAATTCACCAATGACCTCCTAAGAAGAATCATCAATTGAGGTGCGCTGAACGAAAAAATCAAGGACGTAGGCCTGATCGCAATGCGTTTAATTCTTCCCCCTAACCTACACAACCTTTCAACCGGCAGTCAACAGTGGCCTAGTGTGCTAGTCTAAAGAGATCTTGTTGACTGGATCTCCGTTAAACCTCAAACTCGGCCAACCTGGTAACCTCATTTGATCTGACGAAGATTTTGTGTCAAACGTGAACCACTGCGCAGCTGCAAATTCACCGAGTGTTTTTCCAACCATTCTGAAAAGCGGTTTGCAGTAATTTGTTGACTAATGTCTTGCAACTCACCCGGATTTGGAGAAGATTTAGTAGTGGCTACTGGGAACTTGTTTGGTGACAGTTTGCAATAGCTTCTATCGGTGTTTCCGATGCATTGGTTAGGTCTGGTAGGAACATCGGATTAGTAATGCTGAGGTACGCCAGATAGTCTTAGGAAGAAGGAACTCTCCCGCGATGGATGGATAACTCACGCTTCATAGGTTGCGCTGGTTGGAACATGTACCAAAATACCGTCTGCTTCACAGAACTCTTCTTTCCTAGCGCTCTGCTTAGTGAAAGCGACCGAGAGGTGGACAGTGTATGACCTGGCAGCGAAGTACGAAAGCGCTAACCAGTAAACCTAGTCAGGAGGTCAACTGCTGCCTCCCTTGATGGGGGCCTTGGGACTCAAATCACCAGTGGTTATTGACATTGGCAGGAATGGCCCAATCGCGCAGTCAGTGGCTCCCGTGCATCAAAGTCATCGCTTTTATTGCGTAGCTACCCAATTTCTGAACAAACTGAACATGTTTTAGCCTCCAAGGCTTGGTTGTATGTCCCACAGGTTGGTTTTCCGGTGATCGGAACTGTAGTAGCTGGAACCAATGTGCTTATGCACACGGTTTATAGCTCATAAATTGAATTGATTAATTGATTGATTGCTTCCATACCACAATAAAGGAGTCACTCAACAGTGTCCGAGCAAAGGCATGTATTTATTATTGTTCTACCATAGTGGATAGCAAATTTGCGAGTTGCACATAACCAGATAGTATGGGACATCTACATCGAAACTGTTGGTCTCTGAGAATCTCTATTTATGTAATATTTTCCAATAGAGTGCCTTTGTCTTGCAGTTCCAATCACCTAAAACCTGTACTGGTTACCGAGTGTATATTACCAAAATAGGCCGGAAAGTTGTGAAGAAATGAAGCGTAGAATATCATTTGGATTTCAATAGATTTTGTGGCTTCATCCCGTCTGCAGTGTTCATTTGTCTAACCTGTCCGTAAATCTTTACTTAATTGCAGCCACAATATCCTCAACTGATCCGCCGAATTGAATTCGGTCAGCACACATGGAAATAGTATACAGCTGTTGAATTCCCATCTGTCAGGATACCTTTCCCATGTACGGATACCGTACAACCTTAGGAACGCCCGATGATCCTTTCTAATTGATCAATCCTAGATAGGGGCGATAGATCCGAATCCTAAGAGATCAGACTTATGCCAAAATCTCTTATACACTTAGGTGGCTTATTTTTATCGGGTAGGTATTTCAGGGTTTTACGAGCCGAAGTCCTTTCTCTGTCTCTGGACAGAACTTCATAGCATCACACCTTTCCGGATTAGGCAGGCCTCATCGATAGAATCGCCATCTTTGTCTTCCGATAATCCTGCACTGCAATGATTAGCTGTGACGCATGTCTTCACACACACACGATCTCGATAAAGTTCTTCAGGATCACGATAAATGTGCATAATACACTAATACAGGAGTGAATCGGTATTTGTATTCGTGAGTTCCCAACATGTGTGCATGATTTCTGTGCCTCTGTTTTGGGGCATATGTGGCAACCTTTTCCTCAAGGTTTTCAGAAGCTCTGTCGTCATTGATTTAATGCTCTAATTTATTTGGGTCTAATTGCCTTGATACAACTCATCAGTCAAATTACTTCCGAAGAAGCTAAAACACAGATCCTTCCAATCTAGATAACGCCACAAAAAGTACCATTCGCTTCAGTGAGCTGTTTCTGAACGAAAGGATTGTGAAGAGTTATGTTCTGGCTTTGGTGGCGTGAGGGGGATTACTGGCTTACCAATATGCATTGATTTGTCATCTTTTACGGCTTCTTTAAACCTTTTACCTATCACCGTTTCTAGACCCTGGGAATGGGGACAGCACTGAAGATTCTCTTTTCCACTCCGAGTGAAACGTTCTTCGATCCAATCGCCTTCAACCCCGACTTCCAATTGAGTCGACGGGAAATTGTTGCATTGTTCAACGCTTTTAGCCGGTAGGTCGCCCCTTTCGTGACGTTCATGCACTATTGTTATCACACTACATGTTGCATTGTATTATTATATATCGTTCAATTCTATATGTACATTTATCTATGCTAGCTCCCGTCAGCGGTTAGGGCGCGGACTTACTGACCGGAAGTTCCGTGGTTCTAATCCAACATCAACAACTCAACTGCTCCTGTTTAGGCTTGGGTAACCTGGCAGTATCTTCGTGCTACTTTCGGGTGGCCTCGCAGCTAGACACCGGAAGGGTGTTACACCTGAACGGTTATTATTTATTGTTCTCTCCTTCTTGGGGTTGACAACATACATGCGCATATCTTCCAACTGAATGCTGTTATTTTACCGCAAATGCTAATTTTATCTGTATCTTGGCCGTATCAGTGGATCGTAGTTGTTTTATGGGCAGGCGGTTTGTATGTTGCGGTAGTTTGGTCCATGTAGCTTAAACATGGCGGGCAACGTATTTAGTGGGCTTTGGAAAGAAAGTTTTTTTTTTCATTTGCGTCCGTATATGTCCATCTTTTGGTCGTTTCTGCTCACTTGTTGGATTCTGATAGTGAAGAACATGATCTGTCCAACGCACTTCAAATAGGCTAATCAGATCATCTGCCGAACTTGTGTACAGAATTTCTAGCCCACGTTATGACCTGAAACAAGAGCAGTTCATGCTTCATAGTGCGCCGGGCTGTGCGCCAGATAGTGTGACAGTTCCATATTCGAATATCGATATCTGCCCGCCGTCAACAACAGAAATCCAACGGGAGATGTCAATCCACAAGTGTGACAAGGCACCTGGCGTGGATGGTCCGTACCCCGCATTCTCCAGAGAAGGTGGCGGGGTCCTGTTGAATAGCCTGACAAGCATGCTGCGCAAGATTCGGAGCGAAAACAGAATACCAGTCGAATGGTGCTTATCGACCGTCATTCCAGTTTTCAAAAAAGAAGCATGAACATCATGCGAAAATCATCGCGACAGCCGAGTATCCGTCGCATCCAAAGTGCCTTTTGGCCTTATTTTGCACAGCTTGATGGATTATCGGGAGAGACAGATTCTTGATAATCAAGCTGCGTTTCGCCCTGGCCAAGGGTGCATCGACCATATCTTCACCTTGAGACAAATTCCCATTTTGTGAGCTTAGACATCGCTATTTGTGACACTTATTTCCATGTTCCCATTGGTCGACAGCATTTACTCCATGCTCTACACCCCATGCGTCCAATCATGTTTCTGCGTGCTGTCGTGACCGACGTTGAAAAGTGACCCTAGTTGTCTCAGTTTTCAAGAAACTGTGCTTTATGAACCCACGACACCAAATAATGAAACGATGGTTGTTGTTTCTTTTCGCATGATGCTTTGGGTTGTGAGGGACAATATTAATCCCTGTTGGGTGACAATATCCAACCAACTTCCGGGCCGTATACCGTTTTCTTGATGGTTTGAGATGCTAACGACCAGTAATCAACCTTGCGTGCCAGCTGTCCAGACCAGTGTTCCAGTTTCATGTTTGTTAGCTTTGACCTCACCGTCTCATGAAACGTCTTACAAGTGAGCCTTGGAGCCGCGGCTTTTGGACTGTTTGTATCGAGCGACTGTCAATAACAGACTTTTGTCTGGCAATATGCAACGAGTATGCCTATTGTTTTTATTTCTTCACCTACCGACAGACCTGTCTAGTAGATCCTTTTAGCAAATTAGGCTGTGTGCACCGTTGGTCGGAATGTGTGACCGATAAGATAGAGACTTGATTAATGTGACTAGCATATCTTTCGGAAAAAGATTGAATTCTGACTGTAAACCATTGTTAAGTAGCTTGATAGTATGTAGCGGGAGACCTGGAAGAATGCTGGCTTTGTGTGCTCGAAAAGCCGATGGCGGCGACAAGTGGTGTTTCGTGCCCTCGACCTTGCCATTCGTTCTCAAGAACCACCATTTCTGCATACGATTTCGTATCGATTGGATACTGAAGTCCCACTACGACACCCTACTGTTTTCTACTCCAAGACTTAATATTACTGTGTCGCTGCGATATTGCTATATTCTACCTAGAGATATTTTATCCATCATGGATACCGTGATGTCCATTACCTTGTCTCATTGGAGATGTGGCCGAGGTCCACTAAACCATGTTTTCATGTCCACCAGGAGTGTGATGTCTTTCAGTGTGCTTTGCCCGGTAGCTTTGCGTTAGGCGAGGCCTGATGGGTGACAGCAATCCTCACAATTCATACAGCTAGCTCATCCTCTCCTACAGACAACAAGTCTACTTCCAAATAGTGGTCACTAGTCTCAACCAGCGGCCTTCACACGTTCTCGACAGCCAATCAGCGAAACTCCTGTTCTGATCTGATGACTCTCCGTTTAACAACCCTCTAACACGTCGTTATAACAGTGAATTGCACACACTAGAGATAGGCTGTTCTATCATCAGTTCAGCCGACCACCATTAGCCTAGCTTGTCCAAGTTATTTATGACGAAATTACTGTACAACTAACGCACACGCAAATCGAATTGTTTCTCGGTCGAAGCTTTCTAATTAGGTTACCATGTGCCATGGTCGTTGTTGTGGTTATTGGATTGGACTTTTGGCTAATCAGTAACAGACCTTCATGGCTATAGCTGGTGGAAATCCTTGTTTACTTAATTCTTTGTAAGTAAGCAGTGTCCTAATTCTCACCTGAAGATGCTCTTCTTTTGACCAATTTTGCCCACACAGTCTTTCAAACAGTATCGGATCTCTACGTGAGCTGTGCGTACCGGAGTCGCTTTGGAGCACCACTTAGTGTTTGTATGCACATCAGCCATGCCCCGCACCGGTTGTCACTTCTGCTCCCTTGTGCTAAGCATTGTGCTACATTCTGTCATCTATCCCTCCATGCTGAATTTTGCCCACATTCCTTGTTTTCGCTGTCACTGCAGCCATCGTTTTCTTATGTTAATGTGACAGTCTTTGTGATACCTGTGATACATATGTTTCCTGTTCGTGCTGTGTACAGTTAAATCGAGCTTAACCAAGTTCGGATAGAAGCAGATTTGCCCTGGCAATGTGTTTCTCTCTGCAGTCATCCGGCAAGTCTGTCAGGACGGGGATCACTTTGGTGAAGCTAACAATGGGTGTTCACTGACAAGTTTGAAACTTGCTTGAAGAATTAAATAATGGTGGAGAATCCCTTTAATTTCGTGACATTGCATACCAGTCATTGTTGTAATATCTGACGTGAAAGACCATGTAAGTGTGGGAACGCACAATTCAGGTTGAGCAAAACGACCACTGTCCGTGCGCATTGCAGAACACCATACGCATGTACTTTTCGCGTCAACCTCTGAAACTACCAGACTGTCAAGCTCCAAACGAATCAAACCCCCTTCAGGCAATCGGATCACCGCCTGATTCCAGTACTGACCAAATGCGGTGGTACAAAGACAGCCGAATCCGAGTTGATATCTTGAGCGAAGTGATGTTACCACAGGCCCTAGTGTGATAGTATATAAGGACAGGCAGTCTCCTGTTGGTTACTCCTGTCCACCCATCAATCCTTACCGTGACCCAGAACCTGCTTTCTCACCCTTGGAGATCATGGTTTTTTACACCACACATGCAGCTTCATGCCCTCTTATAGACGTCTACGCTATCTATAAGGTTGACTGTTTTTTAATGTAGCTTTTAGGATAGTTGTTGGAACGTAGAGCGCTTGAGTCGTTAGTTTATTCTGAGTACAGATCAGACAAAATGTACTGTACAGCTTAGGTAGATTTCCGATGGTCTAACCATGATAGTCCCATCCGAATTTTAGATCAAACCATTTAGGAACGAAATCTGGCCACTAACTTTATTTTTGACCAACATGCGATCTCTCTCTATTGGTACTGCCTAAGGCATGTGTCCCCGAACACTTGGAAGTCTCCAGTCTCATATTCGTTGGATTCGGGGCCGATTCTGCAGGCGTATGGCTGCATTTGATCCCGTACTGTTTCGGTTTCCACCTGGCAAAATGGTGTCATCTGTATACTTTTGGTCTTAAATCCATTCAATCGCGATTTTCACGCCTCTAACCCCGTGAATATCATCGAATATCCAATCTATGATGTGGTAAAATAAGATCTGAGTTAAAAGCGTCCCGGCCGTACTCCTCTGTGAAGATCATGGTCGAATGACGCTTCATATGCTCGCGCGTGAGCTTTGTATGAAGAGTAGGAACAGCGTGTCCACCGACAAGCTTAGGTAGAGCTCCATGAAGTAGCATGATGTCCCACAGAGCATTGCAGTCAGTGAAGTTGAAAGCAGCACACACGTCTGTGTAACTCACATCATTATATTCTTGGATCATGACGTCGGTTGAAAGTCTGAACAACACAACTCCTCTTGATGAGTTGATCGGGTGTGTGCGTGTCTGGCAATGAAAATACGACTGAGCAGAAGTGTGAATATTCTGTCCACTATGTCGATAAGGCGTATGCTTCGATATTTACCGAAGACCAATTTGTTTCCTTGCAATCGGAACATGCGGCGGTATTTTGAGTGAGTTGACTTATCTCGAACCTTTTGCTTCGTTTATATCCAAGGTGCGAACTGCGACGAATGACGATTTAGGGGCCCATGGGATGACGGCGTTGTTGGCAGTTTCGCTTCGAAGTGAAGACCCCACGTTGGCCATTATCCTATGGCTCACGTTGGTAAGGCCGATAGGTTTTCGTTCCAAGGATGTTGACTTGTTTTATTCTTGGTCGAATAGGCAAATTGTTGACGCAGTAGTCGTGCATGGTGATCATTGTCAAACAGTTTTGACGCTCCGACGTGGTAGTTAGGAGCCCAGCTCGCGAGATGCATATCTAAGCCACTGCCGGACCTTCATCGCTTACATGGGACGACGAACTCTGTATTTACAAGGCAGGGGTGTATTTTTGTCTATTGAGAGTTGCGGAAGCTAGACACAGATGAATTCCCGATTAACACTTTTGTTCGGGTGTACAGGTTTGACCTTCAAGACAGTACAGAAAGCGAGTGAACAGTGCCCATATTGTGGCCGTCGGATTTCAGAAGTGATCCCACCTATCCGTCGAAACTGATTAATGTTTTTGTCGTTGGTTTGAAATCAGGGTTAACTCAAATCTGCGAGGCAGACAACCAAGCTACTGACGATGGTGTCATTGCCGCTTTCATTTCTCAAACCGCCACCAGAAATTAGTGAATAGAGCCATACGGGATGCTTGGCAGGAGCATTTCTGGGGGGTACAAAAGTTGACTATACCCATTTTCCAGGGCACATGCCCGAAATACTGAAGCCCATTTTCCGGAGCACATGCCCGAACATACTGAAGCCTCTAGGAGCTGATCGTCAGCCGCATATTAATTTAACGCATGCAGATGTTAGGATAGAGTGGGTTGAAAACTGAAAGCAAGTTTTCAGCCTTCAGGTGGTCTGTTGTCTTAGCTTCGTCCTATGCAGTGGAAGCCTTTCAATTCCAGCAAAGGCGGCTTTTTAAGGCCCTAACCTTACCATGACATGCCACTGAACCCCAAGTGAAGTAGTCACTGAACTTTCGGAGCTTCTGTCGCTCCACTGCACAGGTTCGGCAGTGTAAGGGACTTTCTAAAGGTGTTACGTGGTTACATTTTTCTAAAATCATAATTTGTTTCACTACCGCTGTGCTTGCTCATTTACGCAGCAAATCTCCATCTGACGCATTTTTAAACAGTGAAGGAGGAGAAGTGGAGGAAAGTAGTTGAGGAATCTTTGATGTTCAAAAGTGTAGGCAAATGATTAGTGGTATTTTCAAGTCGTAACGGTGGAAATATGTTTTTATTTCCTGGATTTCCGTCAAGGATGAATATTTGTTGGTCCCTTTTTGTAACCTTGAAAGTAGACTTCAGGTACTGTAATCTCAAACTATGATGTAAATTTGTACTGTGAGGCTTGACAGAACTCCAACGACCTGTTGATGTGTTCATTTGCGAAACTTCAACATTCTGACGTCTGTGAATCAATTGGAAAGATCCCCTTCTGTACGCAGATCCTTACGTTAACCGACCCACTGAGATAGAGCGAAAATGGAACAACGCAAAGGGAGCCTATTATGAGTCCCACTCTGCTAGCGAGGCAGCTCAATGAAGAATGAAGTGGAAAATGAGCGGTGTATTGTGTTACTTCCATCTGAGGCTAGCAAAAATTGGCCACACAAGGGATGTAACCTGGATTTCATGGATTGACTTACTTAAGCTGCTAACACCGTGGACTCATTTTTACCAAGGGATGAAAACTGGATTTCATGGATTGATTCACTTAAGCTGCTAACACCGTGGACTCAGAGATAACCCTATCATTTTTATCACGCAGGAATCGGGGAAAGCCACACGCATTTGCCTGCTCATGTCGTATACTCACTTGGTTGCACATTCTTGCTCGTTGCTACTATCAAATATGCCTCAGGTTCCAGTCTGCTCATTAACAGTAATTACCCGTTTGCCCTAACATTGATTTGACTGTTGCGATATGAACGTGTGTGAGGCCGGCTTGCCAAACGATCGATATTCACTCCCTGGTCATTGAGTGACCAAACCTTTCAACACTTCTCCAAACTTCACCCAGAGTGCGAAATACTCAGTTTCATATTCACTTTCGTAACATTAATAAGCACAAATCATAACGTGTAGCAAGCATTCAGGATCGGACAAATATAATTGTCGAGCAACAATTTGCCATTCCAATCTTGTTAGGGTGTCAGTAGTTTGTATACGGAGCAAACCTATCGGTCAGTGGTGATGAAGATGTAAATCCCGAAGTTCCACAAGACACAAATGCGATAAGCTGAACCGTACCCAAAAAGTTTGTGAAGTAGACCCCGTCGGTTCACGAATACTATCATGTGGAGGCGATAGTGGGCGCCGATTCTCTTGGCTCATTTTAACAGTTAATTCAGACACTCCAGTTTACCTGGTGAAGCCACTTTCTAGCCCCTCTGGTTATACCATTTAGATTGTGATGAACACTCGCAGCGTCGAATCACTGCTTTAGTACGCAGCTTTTTAACGATTATTATTATGGATCATCCTGTTGGAATTCTCTATCGGTGCGACGTCTCAATTTCTGTTGGTGAACGGGTATCAATAAGACTGGTTATTTCGCACTAGGACTCAAGCCCAATAAGACATTCCATATTAATTTTCGCTCCCCTCTTTTCTACAACTGCTTCATAAGTTGAACTCGTAGGCTTTATTCTGAAGTGTGATAGAGCGACTGTCGATATGTGCACCTCATCTGTAAGCCCCGGGATAATTGAAGAATCTGCTTTTGTGAAGTAGTTCATACCGTCATGCGGTCTTCGCAAGCCTGCAGCTAAGGCGCTAAGAGAAATGTGCTGTTGAGGAACGACTGAAACACTCGAGTTGTCGAAATATATATTATCATTCCATTGGAAGCTGATGGCGAGTCACCAAATATCTGTGGCGACTACCATCCTACGCTACGCCTAAACACATCGAGTGACCCTGGTGTTTTACTGTGCTTTAAGAATACCTCACGAATATCTCTTTGGAGTTAGTTTTGCAGTCCGAACGGATTCCGAATGACTAATATTCATTTTCAATCCCAGATAGTCTGTGACCAGTTGCTCTGAAGCTATGGTCCAACGCCATACCGTTTCACTGTAAGCGCATGATTATGCTATTCATCATCAGGCCGCTAAGCAAATCAGGCACATCCACCGTACATTCCGTCACCATTTTTCATCCCATGAGCCTGATAACGATGCAAATGATTGCCTTTTGACCCTACCTTTAGTATGCGATACCGCTTGCCATCTCAGTTTTGCGCTGAATACCATCAAGAAAGATTAGAATCCAGGCGCAAAGTGAGATTTCATGAAATAGTTCGCTTAACGCAATAAACTCTCCTTCACTCGGGATGGAATGCTGTGCTTTAACGATACAGTGGTGATTTCTAGTACATTGTGCAATGCGGTATATATATATATATATATATATATATATATATATATATAAACGCTCAACAACCTATCACATTCGCACGC